CATTATAGGGGTGTAGGCATAATCACTGTAGTAGTTTTTCCTCAGGAGAACCTACATGAACATATCTGCAGCTTTGTGGAAAGAGAGGAATATTTAAGAAGAGAGGAAACAGCCGATTCAAAAGATAGTTATGGTTACAGTCAAATATCAATATACAGGAATACCCCAGTTACCACAAGGGATGCATTCAGAAAAGTTATTACAAATTTGCGAATATTGGGGAATTTTACCCCATAGGAATTAATGTAAATAAGGGGGTATTTTTCGTTATAAACTCTTCATTATCCAATACTGTACCAACAAATATGAAGAATAAATAAAAATTATATGAATAAATAAAATGAAAGAATAAGCACTGCATTGGCTGTTGGCAAGGGTTTCACTAAATGTTGGAGACTGGAGCGGCTGATATCTCCAACCCTACTCCTTCCTCCCACAATCCGTGGGCTAAATACCGCACATGTAAGAAATGTTTATTCCCTTTATTATTTTGACCTTATGATAATCATTTCTTTTATTTGTATGTTTTTATTTCACATTCTGTATTTAACAGTTAAAATTAAAAAATAATAAAAATATAAATTGCATATAGAATCTATCCAAAATTACAAGTTGAAAAATAACAATAATGCAGCTCACAAGCTTAGCTCAGTAGGAGGAGGCCGAGATCCTCGATACTACCCCCCCCCCCTCGCTTCCCTCAGCCTCTCCCACATTCTGTGCACTTTCTCCTGAGGCATAAGAAATTTTTGTTCGCTTTATGTTTTTGACATATGATACAAGGGGTCCCTGACTTATGAATGCTCGCCGATGCAAATGGGGTTAAACTTGAAATATACAGTATTTTATTTAGTTGATGACTTATTTTTTTCTTTCATTTACTGTATTTTGTCATTCTATTTCTTCTTTTTCCTTAAATTAAGTGATTTTAGATGTACAGTATATGAGGACTTAGGCCAGTGGTGTCAAACTCAAACCTTTCGAGGGCTAATTCTTATTTTAGTTACCCTCTTCAGGGCCAACACAAGTGCTATATTAACACATTAACAGCACTGCTAAACCATTTTCTTATAACATTTTATTTTATAATTTCTATTTTAAAATTAATTGATAAATGATGGCTCGATTTGGTTACTTTTGCACGTATACACCTGATAAGTGAATAAACCAGGGCATATGGAGATGCATTATGCTCTAGTGATGTCTTGAAGCTTTGCAACTACAACCACAACTGAAACAACCACACAAATCCATGCGATTGTTGCGGTTATGAAAAAATCACAAACAAGGGTTGAGAGTTGAGAAATTCATTGGGCAGTGGCACCCTCCAATCACTGTGTTGCCTTTATGTACAATACAGTACAGTACTCCCTCTTTATCGACGGGGGTTACGTTCTGTAAACGGCCGTCGATAAAGAAACCGTCGATACCGTAATGGTTACGTAATTTTTCTAACTATTATTAGCATATGTTGAATAAATGTACCTTTAAGCATTAATGCGTTTCCTTTACGCATAACCTTAAATAATAGTGTATAAATAATAATATAATAAGTGGACAAAAATACTAGCAAACTTACGATTTCATTTATTGAAGTGAACATCGGTCCTTACAGTAAACAAAACAGTGTACAGTACAGTAAAAGTCCAAAAATCCGGCTGCCCAAGGCAAATTGTTTACCATTTATTATTACAACACTTTACACTGAAACGCGGGTAGTTTCAACAAAAATATTGTATATTTCCATTCAAGTATTTATTCAAGTCAATTAGGAGGGAATATTATTGTAATACAACAGTTTTTTAACTAAACCATTCGAAAAGTGATTACGGTAACATCTTTTGAACGAAAGAAAGTGAGTCATTGTTTTCGTCACGATTTGATCCCACTTTCCACTTTAATACGTACGTCATTTCAACAAAAATATTACATTTCCGTGAATGTATTATATCAAGCACAGTATGAATAGAATATCATTGTAATATAACAGAATTTTAACCGAAAACTATTAAAAAAACGAGTAACATCTCAAGAACATCGGAAGCATAGGTAAAGTCTTTTGTTTTCGACATGTATTTTATCCTATTTTACATTGAAATACATCACGTTTCAGCAAAACTACTATTTATTTCCGAGAATATATTCATTCAGGCGCAGTTTAGGTAAAATATACGTGTGATGTAATAATTTTTTAACTGAAAACGATTCGAAAAACACGTAGCCTCTAGCCCTGTTCAAGGAGAGGACTGGGAGGAGCTGTTTGGTGCTGCAGACGATGACAAGGAAAATGATTTTGATGGATTTTAATGAAAATATTCAGAAATATGGTATCGTAATATTTATTCAAGTCAATTAGGATATTATTGTAATACAATACAACAGTTTTTTAACTAAACCATTCGAAAAGTGATTACGGTAACATCTTTTGAACGAAAGAAAGCGCAAGTCATTGTTTTCGTCACGATTTGATCCCACTTTCCACTGTAATACGTACGTCATTTTAGCAAAAATATTACATTTCCGTGAATGTATTATATCAAGCACAGTATGAATAGAATATCATTGTAATATAACAGAATTTTAACCGAAAACTATTAAAAAAACGAGTAACATCTCAAGAACATCGGAAGCTTAGGTAAAGTCTTTTGTTTCCGTCATGTATTTTATCCTATTTTACATTGAAATACATCACGTTTCAGCAAAACTACTATTTATTTCCGAGAATATATTCATTCAGGCGCAGTTTAGGTAAAATATACGTGTGATGTAATAATTTTTTAACTGAAAACGATTCGAAAAACACGTACCCTCTAGCCCTGTTCAAGGAGAGGACTGGGAGAAGCTGTTTGGTGCCAAAATAAAAATCCGGCTAAATAATCCGTCGATAATCGAAACCGTCGATAAAAAATCCGTCGATAAAGAGGGAGTACTGTATTACCCCGTTTTACACAGTTTCACTTTCCGCGATTTCTCATTTACGCGGTACCTTGCCAGAACCACCGGACTTTCACTTTCCGCGGTGCATCTGCTCATATACGCGTGAAGTATAATTTTTTTTTTTTATTTAGCTCATAAAATTCATACAAATTACCCGGCCAGAATATAATTTACATTGCTGGAATTCTTACAATATGATGATCATTTTGAATATAAACATCATGGATTTTGCATTAGACATACAAATTTTAGATCTAATGTAATAATTTTTTGCATTAGACATACAAATTTTAGATCTAATGTAATAATTTGGTTTACACAAAGCAAGTATTTTATCTTTTGTGCAAAATATATGAAGTTTACATTCAAAATATTCCCTGACCTGCAAGGAATCCAGAAATGCCAATTATATTATCCTAACTTTAGTCTGAGTTATTATTTATTACTAAAAATGTAAATTACTATTTTCTCCCAAAGCTTCTCTGGTAGGGAGGGGGGGTAGGGGGGAGGGAGGGAGGGACCGACCAACCCAGCTAGGGCTGAGTATTTTGATTGACAGATAGTGTCCTTGAAGAATATTTCTTTGTTTATTTAATGAAGATATATGTTTTAGCTCATAAAATTCATACAAATTACTCGGCCAGAATATAATTTACATTGCTGGAATTCTTACACTATGATGATCATTTTGAATATAAACATCATGGATTTTGCATTAGACATACAAATTTTAGATCTAATGTAATAATTTGGTTTACACAAAGCAAGTATTTTATCTTTTGTGCAAAATATATGAAGTTTACATTCAAAATATTCCCTGACCTGCAAGGAATCCAGAAATGTCAATTATATTATCCAAACTTTAGTCTGAGGTATTATTTATTACTAAACGTTAAAATCTAGTTTTTTCACCCAACATTTCTCTGGTAAGGAGGGAAGGTGGGGGGGGAGGGTTGGGACCGACCGACCATCTGGCGCGGTTGAAAGAGGGGGGAGGCAAGTTGGGGTACTTTGATTGACAGATAGTGTCGTGAAGAATATTTTTTTTTTTTATTAACTGAAGATATTTGTTTTAGCTCATAAAATTCATACAAATTACTGGACCAGAATATAATTTACATTACTGGAATTCTTACAATATGATGATCATTTTGAATATAAACATCATGGATTTTGCATTAGACATACAAATTTTAGATCTAATGTAATAATTTGGTTTACACAAAGCAAGTATTTTATCTTTTGTGCAAAATATATGAAGTTTACATTCAAAATATTCCCTGACCTGCAAGGAATCTAGAAATGTCAATTATATTATCCTAACTTTAGTCTGAGGTATTATTTATTACTAAACGTTAAAATCTAGTGTTTCACCCAATCATTTCTCAGAGAGGTAGGGGCCAGTGAGCTGGGAAGAGGGGGGTGGAGGATTTGAGTCCATTATTTGAATGGACATTAACCTGGCGACTGTATTTCTCTTAAATATTAATTGTGTGAGCATACCATCATAAAATTTAGATGTTATTTTTACTACAACATAGGTATTGTGTCGGAAAAAGTGGAGTTTGGGGGTCGGGCCAGTTTCTATTGGAATTAATCCCATATGTTCTGTTGTTCACTTTACGCGGTTTTCACTTTCCGCTGTACCCTGTGGGTTCAATCGACCGCGTAAATCGGAGTACTACTGTATATATATATATAAGAGATACAGTGAACAATGTTATTAAATCATTACAGTGATATATCTTGAGTAAATTGCTTAATTACAGGTGGCCATTTGCGACCTTTTTCACACATGGAGTGTTAAAAAGTAGTAGTATTGGACAATCTGATGAGCAAAAATCTCATGTTTTTCCCCATTAAAAAGCCATAATTTAGGGTAAAATGTGACTACATTAATGTACCACTTGTACTCAAAGGTACTAAGTTAATTAGAAAATTTATGTCTACTGCAAACGATGGGATGTTTATACTCAAATTAATCGCTATCTTGCAAAGATTCCAGCAAAGCAAGTTATATTCTGCTAAGTCAAGTCATATATTGTTTTAATATTTTCCCGCAGAACACCAAAACTGGTTTGGCATGGATGACACTCTGGGTCCAGTGGCGATCAGCATACGCAGAGAGAAAGTAGAGGATGCTTCAGATAGTGCCCACAGCCTTCCAACATATCAGTATCGTATCATTGTCAGAACTTCTGAGGTGAGTCTTTTCACTGAACTGATTAAAGATTTATTTTTTTATGAAATTTATGAAAAATTATGATTTTTTTGTGCTACTGAGCACTAGCACTTGTTAAGTAATATTTTTTCTGAAATATATTTTGTAATTGTAGGATGTTTATCAGTTAACACAGGTTCAGGAATAAGGGAGTTTGCTGAGTGTAGTGTATTGTACATGGTTGTCAGAGTTTTATCTTGAAAGTTTGATTTGGGATTAAAAGACAGTTAAGTGTGTACAGTAGTAGTAAGAGTTGAAATAGTAAGATTTGGGATAAACAGGATGTGGAAACTGCAAGGATATTTTTACAAGCTTGACGTGTGTGTAAACCTGTAGAGTAATGTTTAAGGAGACATTGAGAGAGTATGTCAGCTAGCAGGGATGACTATTATATTCAACTGCATGAGTCACCCTCATGTATTTCAGGAAAAGTTGTAAGATGAACACTTGGTAGGTACAGTATGAGTATACTAAGCATGAGTTTTCTTTCTTTTATTACTAATACAGGATTTCATTAAAATACAAAACTTTTGAGCTTTTTAAGTTGCTTTCACATTTGTGTTTTGAATATGGTTGCTGCATTTTGATTAACTAATGCTGTGAGGTAAGTCAGTGCAACCCCTCCCTGCCCCAGCCCAATATTGGCAACAAGAGGGTATTAGTGCATCCTGTTTTAATATGAAGTCTTGTGCCCAATTTCTTTTCAATAACCATATGCATTAATGTCACCAATCTTTTATCAACACGTTCGCTTTAAAATTGCATCATATTTATAGTGATACTCAAAAAACAGTTTTGTTCATGTTAATTTCACTCACTCTGTGATTGAATCTATTTCCACAAAATTTTCCATTGTAGATATTAATTGTCCTGGGGCCTACAGTTGTTTATCAGTTGTTTTTTTCTGTATCTCAGCTATTTAGTTGCCAAGGTACAGTTCTTGAGGAGAGCCTTGGGCGACCCAGTGGAGAGAAAGGTCGAAGTCCAGGAGTTCGGGAAGCCCTGGAATATGTATATCCACAACTTTCAGTTGGATGTTTACGTCTGGGCCAACCAAGTACACAGACAGAGGAAGCCTTAACCCGATTAGATGATTTAGGGGTCCATAACAAATTTAAGGTATGGCATCTCTCTCTTTTTTTAATTTTTCTTATTTTTTAGTTCATAAGGCAAGCCAGAACTGTAATTACATTGTTATATTCCATTGCTTTAGTCTCATACATATTAGTTAAATTTGTCCAATGCTTGAGATGAAGTACATTATGCAAGGAAATGTGTATATGTTAAAAATATCTGGAGACAATAAGGTTGTTACTATACTTGAGCTGATGAGTTTTCTTCAAACAAATGTGACTGTTTAGAATTGTAAGAAGGTGTTGACCAAATGACAGATAGATTGATCTGTTCTCCAATCTGTTCTTCAGACAGTTATTGTGCTTGAATTGCATCTTATAGGCCCACCAAGACACTCCCTGATGTAAGATTTCTTCAGTGAGGTTGATATATAACTGTTAATGTTACAGCAGTTAGATTGAATGGATGAGTGAGATTAAAAGGAAAATTTCTTTGTTTGATTCTGATCACTCAATGTATGAGAAAAAGGTTTTGTAAAATATGTCAATGGTAGTGCCTGTGTATGGCATGCCACCCCCACATACCTGTGCATCCCCTCTCATTTTTTATTCACCAAGACATTTCCCAATGTAAGAACTTTTCATTGAGGTACATGGTGTCCTCACTTAAGTGTCATGGAAAATAAAATATTATTTTAATTGAAACAGATTTGTGGATCAATTACTCCCAAAATAATTAATGGCAGTAATGTGAGGTTACAGGGAAGTTTTTTGCTAGACAAAAGTTCTAGACATGTGAAGTAGTAGTGTGGGGAGTGTACAGTATGTGGAGTAGTAGTGTGGGGTGTGTACAGTATGTGGAGTAGTAGTGTGGGGTGTGTACAGTATGTGGAGTAGTAGTGTGGGGTGTGTACAGTATGTGGAGTAGTAGTGTGGGGAGTGTACAGTATGTGGAGTAGTAGTGTGGGGAGTGTACAGTATGTGGAGTAGTAGTGTGGGGAGTGTACAGTATGTGGAGTAGTAGTGTGGGGAGTGTACAGTATGTGGAGTAGTAGTGTGCAGTGTGTACAGTATGTGGAGTAGTAGTGTGGGGAGTGTACAGTATGTGGAGTAGTAGTGTGGGGTGTGTACAGTATGTGGAGTAGTAGTGTGGGGAGCGTACAGTATGTGGAGTAGTAGTGTGGGGAGTGTACAGTATGTGGAGTAGTAGTGTGGGGAGTGTACAGTATGTGGAGTAGTAGTGTGGGGAGTGTACAGTATGTGGAGTAGTAGTGTGGGGAGTGTACAGTATGTGGAGTAGTAGTGTAGGGAGTGTACAGTATGTGGAGTAGTAGTGTGGGGAGTGTACAGTATGTGGAGTAGTAGTGTAGGGAGTGTACAGTATGTGGAGTAGTAGTGTGGGGAGTGTACAGTATGTGGAGTAGTAGTGTGGGGAGTGTACAGTATGTGGAGTAGTAGTGTGGAACATTGAGTGTCCTCCTCACTGCCCCACACTCTTCATCACAAAATAGTTGATCTCTCACATAACTTTAACCAGATATGTGACCTACCGTATTTTAAGGCATATAAGACCTACTCCCAATTTCAGCAGGGAATGTTTCGGAAAAAAGGCTGTTGTGTATTTACCTCCTGTAGCCATAGTTTTCATAAAATTATGTACAGTATTCCAGTAAATGTGAGGAATAAATTAAAATCATACCAAAATTAAGGTAAAATAAAATAAAATTATTGGTCATTCTGAAATTTATTTTACATATTGACAATATATAATGCAGTGCAGTGTTGATTTAAAGAAAATAATCATGAATTACACCTAGTGAACTTAAAATTTTATGGGTGAAATGGCGGCATGAAGCATGGGGTGACTTCTCTTCCACCCCCACTGCCTTCTCTTCACCCTTCTCCTCCACCCCCACTTCTAATTTCCATCATCATATCATCATCAACTAGGAGCCTTCTACATGCACACCTCAAAGTAAGTATACTTTACTGCATTTATTTTTAGTTTGAATGTAATTTTCGGTGAGCTGGAACCAATTACCAAAAATCGTGTCGCATCTTACGCACATTTAACTTATGCACTTGGTTTAGGGGAAAAAATGCAGTGAGTCTAGGAGTGTATGGCTCCTAAACAGTAAAACCTTCTTAATCCAGGCGCTTTTTATCTCAGTTTCTGTTTTATCCGCACTGGTAAATCACTCTGGACTAATTTTTGTTAATCCAGATTGAATCCGGATTAACATGAAATATTCCAGATTTTGGCCACATGGTGGCCAAAATAAGTACCGCATTTTTCTGTTTGAAAGACGCACTTTTTATGACAAAAATATACCTTGAAAATTACCATGCGTCTTCCAGGACACTAGTTGATAGCAGAGGTTTTCTTAGGGTCAACTGAAATCAGTCCCTTACAAAGACTGTTACCTCATTACAATACTTAACAATTACAAGTATTCTCTATACAGTACTATAAAACAATTGATTTAAATACGTAGGCTCTCATATTTGGACACCTATTTACAGTAGGCTCTCATATTTGGACACCCATTTAGACTGTAAAACCTTGCAAAATTAAAATCTTCCAAATTTAAATACAACTTCCTTTGGAGAAAATTAATTTGAGTCTGGTACTTTCGATGTTTGGCTAAATTTTGCCTTATTTACCCTACTTTTTAGGCGAATTACTACCTGTAATAAAGCAACATCCTAATAACTAACGAAAATAACACAGATAAAGTTAAATAAAAACTAAAAACAATACAAAAAATTTTATGTTCTACAGCTTCAGCTAGAGTTGAACCTGATGACTTGGCAACTTCGTCATCCGAGTAAAAACACATACAGTGGGGTATGCTATAACGAACGGATCCTACTACGAATATTCCTATAACGAACGGTTTTACCTATAAAATTGAGAATGCTATAACGAACGCAACTCCTACAACGAACGCGGATGAATACCGGACTATTTCGCCTGGCGCATGAATATTGTTGTACCGCGACCCACAACAAGAGCGTCAGGCGCCATCTTTGTCTCATTGTGTAGCCAGTGCACCACTGTTATTGTTGAAATTTCGTCTTTTGATGTGGAAATAGAGTTATTTGTATAAATATTTTGTTATACAAGTGTACAATTGTGACAATGAATCGTTCAAAGCGAGTGAGAAAGCTCATAACTCTTGAAACTAAGAAAGAAATCATAAAGAAACGTGAGGATGGAACAAGCATTGCGAAACTTAGTGATGAGTATGGGATGGCTAAATCGACTACATGTACGATTTTATAGAATAAAGAGGAGTTGAAAACAGTGCAAGTGGCTAAGGGAATCTCTAGACTTAGCAAAGCAAGGTGTAATGTGATTGAGGAGATGGAAAATTTACTCTTAGTGTGGATAAAGGAGAAAGAAATGGCAGGTGATAGCATTAGTGAAGCTATAATTTGTGAGAAGGCCAGACAATTGTTTGAGGACCTTAAAGCCAATTTTTTCAGTGTTAAGTGGTTGTATTTGGGGGCCTGGAACGGATTAATCCTATAACGAATGAATGCTATAACGAACGAGGTTCTGGAACCAATTACGTTCGTTATAGCATACTGTACCCCACTGTAATAACATTGGCTGTCCTTATATTTTCAACGTTACCACCACTGGTGGGTAGAATTTTTGTTTTAAATTCAGAAACTTTAATTAAAATATATATGAACAGTAAATAAGTTTTGCTTTCATATTCTTATGTAGAGTAATGACGATATGTTTTCACATGTGCTCACTTACATCGAGATCTCACTTTTTTCTTTACCATTAATGGTTAGCTACTTCCATTGTTCCATTTATTAACATTAAATAACATTACAGTAATACCCCGCTTTATGCGTTTTTTTTTTTACGCGTTTCTACGTTTACGGGGTACCCCGCCACAACCGGAATGTTCACTCTACGCGGTGCATCTACTCTTTTACGAGGAGAGCTGCTGGCGGTCATCTTGCGCCGCGCCATTTTTGGATTCACACCTCCCGCCGTCCCGCCATGTTGGGTAAGCGGTGCGAGTAGGTTGCGCAGTGTATGTCTTGTGTATGTCTTTGTTGCATTATCGGTGACGTCATATGACGTATCTGACTGTGATTGGGCCAAGCATCCTTACCTTCCTCCCCGCTAGCTGTGATTGGTTTAATGTAATATGACGTGCCCCGCCGCGGGAGTGATGAAGCCCGTTGACCTACCCGCATCATTTACACCCCTCCCGGCTACACCGTGTATATCGATATCCATTGTTCCATAAGAATGGCTGCCACCGGACCACCACTACCACAAAGAAACCTTGCATTACCTGAACCCAGCCGCCCTAAGCCAAAGAAGATACGACGTGCCCTAAGCTACAAGGTGAAGTACAAGATCATCCAAGAGTTGGAGAAAGGAACAAGACAGGTTGATTTGGCGCGCCAGCATGGTGTGAACGAATCTACGATACGGACAATCAAGAAGGATGCAGCCAAGATAAAAGAACACATGAACATCACAAAGTCTACAGGTGCTTCTATGATCAAGTATTGCCACAACAAGGTGCTTCTCAAGACGGAGAAGTTACTTGTGAGCTACTTGATTCGTCAGGCAAGACAGAACATGGCGGTCGACACGCGCTCAGTTCAGGAGTACGCACGTGAACTGTACGCAGCAGTGTCACTTAAGATGGGAATTGCAGAGCCCAAACCCTTCAATGCTTCCTCTGGGTGGTTGCAGAGGTTTAAGAAGAGGAACAAGATCACCAACATTAACATTGGTGGTGAAGAGGCTAGTGCTGACCGTGTTGCGGCTAGGGATTTTCCTCCGTTTTTACGTGAGATTATGGAGGAAGGACAGTACACCGACGACCAGGTGTTCAACATGGACGAATCCGGTCTCTTCTGGAAAAAGCTACCTTCCAAGACCTTCGTTGTCAAGACTGCCAGCAAGTGTCGTGGCCGGAAGTTGCAGAAGGAGCGCATCACCGTCATGTTTACTACCATGCCTCCGGTTCCTGTAAACTCAAGTTATCGGTGATCCACACAGCC